GACAGACAGACAGACAGACAGACAGACAGACAGACAGACAGACAGACCACCTTGGAGAATGAATGCATCCTCATTGGATTAAAAGGTCAGGTTTGTGTCGTGTACCATAGATATTAAAGGAATGAATCGTCAAAGTGGATTAATTTTGTAAAAAGCCAAGGCCCACCCTATGGGTCAGACAGCTGTGAGCCAATCCTTGAAGATTAACTGGTGCAATTACGGACCATTGGGGGGACTTTGTGCAGAAAATCAACCGTCGTCTGTTTGCGATCACCACAAACACCTGCCTTCTTCCAGGTTACAGCAGGTTCTTTTTTTATCTTTATTTCTTTACAAACATTTACTTATTACAGCTAAGGTTAATAGATAGATACCAATACAACAACTACATCAGCTGCATTGGTTCTCTCCCTCCAGTTCTGATGACTGAGCAAAAACAGGCCATTCCCGACATATAAGTGATTATTCTAAGTCTTTATGTTTTCCTCAACAGGCAGGAGGTGACCTATGATATTCAATCATTTGCTGTGCGAGTACACATTTCTCCTAAATTTTTCCAAAACAGCTGGCTTTTGTGAAGATTAATATTCATTATTCATCATGTCTATTTGCGCGTGAGTAATTTAGGCTGATCGTAGATCTGTTACCAGGTGACTGGACACAGCCTCAGCTTCTGAGAGCACTACTCATTTTAATTGAACCAGGTTTTTGAATGAATAGTGTTTACAATTTCTGCTCCTTTTTTGTGATGGTTTTGAAATCTTTTATCTATTTGGTGATTTTAGTTTTTTTATTAGTTATTAAAATATTTTTCTGTGATGTGGCAATAATGTAAGTACACTTTAACCAGTTGGAAACAATTTTCCATGACATGTATTATTTTAATTTTTTAATCTAAAATCAGAATAAAGTAAACTGTAAATCTGTATATTTTTCTTAAAAAGGAGTGTGGGAGAGCTATCTCTGCTGCAAGTGTATGAGCGACTTTTTATTTAAAGTGTTAACAGATGGAACAGATGTTATCAGATTCACCCGAGTAGCAATTTTACTGCTGTAGAGTGAATAAGTATAGGAACATCCAACAAATGCTTTCTCTTTCTCAAAGGATGATGATTCCTATCTGGTAGAATATTACATTTTTGTTTGCTGTGGATAACTGCATGATATGATGTAAATCTTGGGCAAGATAAAGAGCAGAAAATACGCTGCCTTAATAACCATGACACGCCACCATCAATGACTATAATTTAGAACTTAGGTTTTTATGGTTTGTTCCTAATCAGGTTTTTCTTTTATAATCTTGGAGTGACAATTGAATATATTTCCAAATAAATGTCCAAATATAGCCCCCATCGTTTTCATTGTGTAAAATGTGCATTTGATTGTGAGAGAACTTTAAAATTGATCATGACAAAGGATAAAAAGGGTCATTACAATGATTGCTAAATAACTTTTTTTTTAAAACATGAAAAATATAAGGAGAATCTGAGAAATGTAGAAATAAATGTACCAGTTTGCCGCATTAGAGATTCATTTGTTATGAAGCAATCAGCCAAACATAAACAATCTTTAATCATGAAACAGCTTGGTGGGCAGATCTCAGATCAGATAAAAAGGAAGCAAACCGACTCCGAAAGCAAACAGCGTGGATGTGAAATCCCAAATCCGCCCAGATCATATTAAGTTACTTGCATTGGAAAATAATTAAACTTACACTTTTTTGGGGGAGGGGTTTCTTTGCCACAGATGAGGAGAGCACAGTGTGAGACTTATTTTGGTAGTTATGAAGTATAGGTGTAAACGTTCATACCACCATCTTTGGCGAAGTTCAAAGTAATAGCCCCAAATGACTCTTTTATGGAACCATTCCAACCCTCATAACACTAAAGTGCATCTTGTAAGTCCTGTTTTGGCACTAAGTCATATTTGATTTATAATCCTTTTTTCAAACAAACACAGCAAAACAATACTTTCCATCTGACCGCCTGCCCAGCCACCTCCAAGCACAAAACACTGAAGTATTGAGTGTATGCTGTCGGTATTGCATGTGAATCAGTCCGGAAAAAGAACATTTAGGTAACATGTTCCATCTTGTGAGCCGACTCACGCGGTTTCTTGGTGGTGATGTTTACACAGGAACTGCTGGGTCCGAGTCCAGCGCTGTTCTGTGCCCTGACAGAGATCAGGTAAGTGGTGCTGCTCTTCAAGCCAGACAGTAGAGCCGTGCTGTTGATAACCGTAACTGTGTCTGCTTCAGTCTGCCGAGATCCTTCCTCCCTAAAGAAAACCTGTGCACGAGATCAGGGGTTAGTATAAACCTCCAAGAGCTGTGAATGTTTTTCCCATTCAATCACCTGTTAAATCATCCATCCTTACATCCACTGTCCACAAAACGTGCAGGAAGCCCGACTATCTGCTCAATCAGTCACTACAAGTTTAATTCAACAAAGACTGTTTAGATCAATTATATGATACTGCAGTACATATATGATGTATTATAGGAGCAAGAGGAGCAATTGGAAAAACAACTAATCCAGTTAGATTTTTATATTTTTTATATTTTCACACAATTTGCTAATGAGTAGCACTGTGTTATCAGACTTCCCTTAGAAAAACGGGCCCATTATCAGCTCAGCTACACCAGATCCCCAGGAATCTTTTTAAAAGTCCCAAAATGATACTGATTCAGAAAATGAGCAGTATGTAAAGCTGCTTTAATGGTAAGGAGTATGAGGATTAGAGGCTTTTAGATTCAGATATTTTTTAAGAGGATCATTTATGACCACAACACGAGATAGTGACACCACTCAGGAAAATGTCAAACAGATGGCTTGAGAACAGGTAGTTATTCAATTGGCTGGAAGGCAGGTTCTCAGGGATTTTGCTTGGGAGAGGCAGATTAGCAGGAGAGCCTGGAGCTGCTGATAACAGATTCATCAAGGGTGTTTTTTTTCTTTGTTTTTTTTCTTTTCTTCTATTTTCCCCTTTTCTTTTCTTTTTTTTTTACAGCAGGTTAATTATTCTAGTTTTGAAAGGCACTTGGGAAACCTACCAAAAATACCTCACCCGAAGATGTTTACATTTTTTTTTATCCGCTCTACAGAGCATCTAAACACAACAATGGAGAAAAGCAGGTTTCTAAGCAGACTTCTTCTGCCTTGTTGCATCTTACGAGCCTTACAAAGACAGTATAGTGAACACCTCAAACGTAAAAACGCCACGCACAGACTGAATGCAAGTAATTGCAAATGGAAGACAATGCAAACTTGTCAGAGTTTCTCAAATTTTGACTAAAGCAGAAAGACTTTTGTAAGGTAACCCTTTAGGACAACTTTGACATACATACCATCATTGAAATGTATACAATTCCAAAGCAATGTGATGTGATAAATTAAAACAAGCAGGAGAAAAATAACTATAAAAAAATATTTTAACTCACCCGAGTGTATATTGTCATAGTAAAATGAGAAAAATGAAATTTCAAGCAATAACTACACCTCAGCTACAATTTACAACCTGACAAAAGTCCAGGCCCCGTATGTAGGCCGGTGGATATTCTGTTTTTTCAACATAATTAAATAATCTGTACTGTGTTAAGTTAAACAAAGCGTGTCACAGATATCTAATTTAGACATCAGGAAAATGTGTCACCCTCTAAAAAACGGAGCAGGATATGTCTCCATCAACATAGTAACTGAGGCCTGTAGACTCTGAGATTTAACTGGTGGCTTTTTTTTAGCTTAGCCTGACCATGGGGTGAACGTACAGATACAGTTGATACTTTCACTGATACAGTTGAGTTTTAAAACAAAAAGTGCCAACTATTTGGAACGTTTTCCACAAAAGAATAAAATCCCTCTCTGTGGAATGATGGACACTCAAATAGTTTGGAAAATGCCTTATGATCTTCACGGGCCAATGGCCAAGTAAAGATGCTTCTCTCAGATCACTGCAGATGTATTTCCTCCTTGGTATTGTGTAATCACACACCCAGATACCCCAGAACCCTCCAAAGCTGAGGTACATAGTACCTGGTCACTAAATTCAGACTGGCTTTACAGTTATATTGGTGTTTTATCATAGGATACGACACCCTACTACTATTGTCCTATATTATGACAGTTAAAAGCCATACATTTGGGGTTGTGTCCAAGTGATATTGCAGCATTTTAGCTCATAACAATGAAGCAGAGTGCTGATTAACTGGGTAGACAGATAGGGAGCTGCAGTGATGACTTGTTGTTTATACACATTTAAGCCAATTCTCCTGTCAGACATCAGACTGACGTATCACTAAGACTTATATTAGGATCACCCCAAAAATAAATAAATAAAAAAATAAATAAAAAAATAAAAAAATTAATTAATTACTTAATAAATAGATAGATAAAAAAATTTATATATATACATAAATATAAATATATATATATACACAAGCTGTGCATTTCATATCCTTATTTGGTCTCACTATGGTTTATAGGCCTAACAGAGCTAGGTAAATCTTTAAACTAATCATCTAAAAGTTGAAAAAAATCTATTGGAAAACACTTCTTGTAACTCAGGATTCATTCATCAGTTCCGGACAAACCTCTAACAAAGTCACTGTGCAGAGCACTGAGCATGACGATGACACATAATGAATGTGTAACGCTCTCAAGTTTAGTTCTTTTTCCCCCCTGTCTTTGTCTGGAGAATAGAATGCACTAGGTGGACAGTTTGTGTGTCCACCTCTGGGATGGTCAGGGACAGCTACAGATGGTGGATTTATTTCCAGCTAAAAAAAGTTTGCGGTTCCCCTACTTTCTTGAACTTAGAAAAAGTCGGCATTCTGTCTTTCTAATCTACTAAGAACACCTGCTTTCGTATCTTGGAATATCTACATTCTCCATTTAATGACGTTCCTTTCTTCAAATGAGCATCAATATTTTAAAAGCCTATCTACGGCAAGTACTCTTGCTCAAAGTGTTATGTACAGTACATGATGTGGCCCATGCTTCTGCAGTTTATGGCCATAGATAAAAAAGATAAAAGTCTTTATGTGACCTAAAAACGCTGTCCTTACACAGGAAACAGTAAAAGCAGAATGTTAGCAGAGCTGCAGTGGAGTCATTTTCTGTGTCTTCCCTGGAGACTAGAAGGCAGAAAAATTCGAAAAAGACCAGATAAAGTATACCCAAAATCTGTTTAAAATCGACCGGACAATAAAGACGGCTTGTTCATTGGCCTCATTTTTTTTATTTCGTAAAGAAAATTTTAATGAAATAAATAAAAGGTTGGGAATACAGAGCTTCAATGATAATAGATATAAAACATGCAGAAAAAGGACACGAGGGAAAAATATCTCGATTTAAATATTCAGCTTCAAAGATTTTAAAAAGTAAAATAACTTATGTTTGATTTATGCATCATTTCTTTTCGTTTTTTTTACTTGATTTAGCTGGGCTTAATAGATAGATACACCAATACAACAACAGGGTTTCTCCCACCCCTTCTGATACTGGAGCTAAATCGCGACAGGCAATTCTCAACATATAAGTCGACTTTACAGCAGATGGTAAGGTAAAAGTTTAATTGGATCATCAACTATTTTTAATTAAATATGTATGATCATATTTTTTTTTCGCGCTCATGGGCTCAGATGAGATTAATACTTCTTATGAGAAGAACCATTTGTGTTTATGAGTTTATGTGTCTCATAAACTGTAAAGTAAAAAAAGGAAATCTTCTCAAACACCAAAACTAGACAGTGACACTTCAAGTTATTATCATAATAATAAGTTATAACTAGCATTGAAAGAGTTTTTAGCTATTTTTCTAACCCTAACTGATTAGGGGAGTAGCTTCCTGCTCCCTAGAAACAACCATGTTGGAAGACAAATCATGTTATCATGGAAAATATGCTATTTTGTTTTGAAAAAACAGTGTATACTTTAAATAGTTTGAGGTGAGCTTCTAGATTTCTGTTAAACAAGAACAGTCTTATTTAAAGGATTTGCTTTGCTCTAAGACTCCTTCCTTTCTATAATGAGAACAAAGCTCCTTGGCACAGGTCAGCCCATCTGGGCTCAGCCTCCCTAGTCAAATATCTGGGTTTTTAGAAAAGGAAGTTATTTTTATCTGGGTCTCCCACTGGTAAATCTCAGGGGGATGTTTGTGGTGGATGGAAGTGATGTATGTTGTTCACACCTTCCCTTATCTATTTATGTTTTTTTTTGTTTTTTGTTTTAATAGCAGCTCTCAGACAGTTCTGGGATTACAGTTCTCACTGGTACAATAACAGGAGGCAGCAGACCTCCTCTTTCCCTGATTTAGCCCAACCAAAAAACAAAGACTGTAAAATTCTACTTTCACAGCATGTCCAAGTTGCCACCACTGGCAGATATACTCAGACAAACTCCTGTTTATGCTAATTCCACTTGTGCAGGGCTGAATATCTGCGCTATGTTTGAGTATTCCTCGTAGCATTATTACTTCAACTTTTCTTCTTCATACCTCATATGAAATGATTTTCTTGCCGCCGGGCCCATGAGGAACTGGTTCCCAGGACACCTCGATCTCAGAGGCTGACAGAGCGCGGGCCAGTACGCTTGATGGCACCTCTGAGGGTTCTGCAGAGAAGAAGATGAATAATTCATGGTTGCAATTATGAGAGAAAGCTTCCATTTTCTGGAATTAACACTTTTGTGGTTACTTCTGTATTCAGCGCACGGAAACACACTCGCCTTCTTCTGCAGAGAGCACTCTGACAATGCTGCTGAATGGACCCTCTCCCATGCTGTTGTACACACCCACAGTCACCTCAAACTGAGACAGGGGAACAATGCTGTCATTTCTGTAGATATATCTGGATGCTTCAGGGGAAGCCAGCACCGTCTGGATCCAAGTGCTGCTGCCAAGTGGGCGGAAAGCCACAACATAGCCAAAGTCCTCTCCACTCTGCTGTTCCTCTGCAACTGGCTGAGATGGCGACAGAAGAGTTACACCCCTGACTAAAGCAGCTTTGAGCAAGAAATTAAACCAGAGAGTAGAGGACTAAAGCAGACACACAGTGTTTTATCTAATGGCACACATGTAAGTCTTTCAGTTATAAGGCTTTACATCCAAACGCTTCATTCAAACATGAGCTGGTTCACACACAAGTAAATTCGAGCTCACGACATGAAGCACAACATGTTACTCTGTGTTGTCCTGTTCTAAAGATAAACTGAGCTGGAATTCAGAGGTAATGGGTAAAAGCCCATCTGTGTCCACTGAAACTGAGCGGGTAAGTAGAAGTAAGGTGTTGCTAATTGAAGCCAATTGATTTGACCATCAGCAGGAGTCCATCTGGGAAGCGTTATGTGGCCATTTTTCTAGCTACTTATGAGTACATCATTCCACAGCTGTCAATCTTCGCAGGAGTGGACGTCCCGTTATGTTCACCCCAAATTTAGACTCCAAATGAAACAGTTCAGAAAGTTCATGACAGTGGAATTAGAAAAGGACAGAATAAAAAGGGCTTAAATGAAAGGGTTGGTAGAGGGAAGTCTCTTGTTTTTTGACTCAAAATAAACTACTGTAAATGTGAGATGTGCTGTCAGCCACGTGAATTTTTTTTCTTAATCTTAAATGGTGAACTGTTTAGATTGTACCTTTAAAGTGTCTAGAGATGATATTTATTGGTATGGGTGGCTATATGAATTAAACTGAGCTGAAGCTTGCCCTCACTCTTTGTTTACACTCCGATTTACACAAAACAGGTAGTTAGCAGGAAGCACGTAAGAAAAGCCATTTCCAGTGGAACTAGGCCACTGCAGACACAGTAATCCTGCCAAAACTCAGTTATCATCAAATGAAGGATACTATATCACAATGAATCCCCCGTAACGTAAATAAATAAACGATAAAAAAAAATCAGCCACTTACCTCCCACATAATAACAAGTTCTCCTTGAGCTCCCCCGCCTCCACTCACGTAAACTGGTGCAACCTTGGGAGCTAAACGGAGACAAAAAGAAATGTGTTCATCTACAGATGCAGGTTCAAAAGATTCCGTTGTGCCATGCATCTTTCAATGAGGTGATCACAGCCACTCTTTGGAGATTTCTATCCACACAAAATAATTTAAACACTCAGAAGAGGCTTTAAACTTTTTCCCTCCATGACGACAGCATTAGCCCAACTGCAGGGTGATGTTATTTATAAATGGCGTACCAGCCCCCATGTGCGAGGCACAACAGGAAGCGTGCTCCTCTATGATTCAACCAGCAGGGGTGGGACTACTTCACTCGTAAACACCTGTTCATGTTGGTGCCTTGCGGCGTGTCCTCGTGCGTTTTGTTTGCTCACAACTGACATGCATGAGAAAAAATTCAGTGAGGTGTAATTTGCTGTCCACTGATCATAACTGTGCCCTTGTAATCAAAGCGAACAATGTGGCAAGAAGTAAACATAATCAAGCGCTGTGACACTTTGCAAAGTGGGGGAAACAACAAGCTGGGAGGATACCTGCTGCTTTGGTTCGAATCTGTTTAGATGGTGTGCTGGGTTCTCCAACTCCAACACCGTTGATTGCCAACACCCTGAATTCATAATCCACCCAGGGGATCAAATCTCTCACTGTTGCTTGCATCATCTGTCCAGGCACAGAATCAGGAACTAGGATTAAAGAATTAAGAATTGAGATGTGTTCTGTTAATTTCCCTTTTTTTTTCTTCATATTTTTGTGAGTGTTCGTGAGGCACATTTAGCACTTTAAGAAAAATCTGAACAAAGGGGATGAATAAACAGTCAAGTACATTGAATTCCATTCAGGACTGTATGTAAATCTTTTAATACTTTTCCAATTACAGTGTGTCAACGGTCCAACAAATCCATCCTGCTCTGCCACTATTGTGGAAGCAGCAGAGTATTTTTTGGCATCTCACAATGCAAATGTAAAGACAAATACTGTTAAACAAACAGAGTTAAGGAGGTGCCACGGGAGGTCTTTTCAATTAATGTGATTGGCGTGACAGCGCTGAGCGTCTTTCAGCAAGCAGAGTTTTTCAGTTTGAAATCTTAAGTCATCCAGTTGAAGTAGGCAAATAATTAGTGTGTGAGGAAAGGTCACGGAGGAAAAAAAGTTACACATTTGTTTTGGGCAGATTCTGTTTTTATAATATTTTTTTGTTATTTGAAAACAAGTTCAATTTCATTAAACCCAAGTTACGTATTCAAATTTTAACCTCTCATTTCGACATTTTATGCTTCTGAGCAGCCAGACTTTATTCTAATCTTTTAAGGTTGTTTTGAACAATAGTTCTCCAGGCTTCCTGAAGGTCATTCAAAGTTTCTTGGGGGGAAATTGGCTTAAGCCGCTTTACAATGACCTGAGAATCATTCAAGCGTAAACAAGGGGAACTTATTCAGGGGATGAACCAGTGATTTGTTTCCAGATAAGCATCTTGGCAGAGAAGCTGTATTTTTAGGTGCTTTGTTACTAGCAGCCTGCCACAAAAGAACATAATTAGTTTCTATTTATTTAGCTGTATCTACAAAGTTGCAACAGATAACTCAGTTCAAATGACATAGAAAAGGTATTTTTGCTCCAACAAAATGACTCACGCAGATCTCATCACAATGTGTTTTTAAAAAATGGAGAGGCAAATCAAGCTAGACTGGACAACTGGACAAAACTGAAAAGTGTCAGGCTTTAGAAGTATACTGATCCATAGCAGATAAACAGTATCTGATTATGAGACATAGGGAGAAAAGGTTCCAGCAAAGACCTGACACAAGAGCCGAGAAATGCATTTGAACCACTCATGGACTACTTGTCTCATTTAATTAATCTGCTGTTCACAGGGGCCTCGTCCCAAATACCATCACGAAAGGATGGCTGTCAATAAGCCATTTTTTATGATGGGAAATAGGGAGGAAAACCTGAGATATGCAAAATATAGGTCAAAAGGAGGGTTAAATCATACTGAGGAGCCTGGACCCCAACTTTATGGAAGCAGCCAACACCCAAAGAAGAGCTTTGGGATGCCCTTTAATCTTATCCTTCAAGTCCAGAGAACTATTCCCAAACACTATTACAAGAAATGACACATCACAGCGTGCCAAGGTAGCTCACAATTGTTTAAACGTTGTTTTGTCTTATAGACAATGTTATAGGATGACTGTGGAACCACAGGAGTAGATGATATAAAGAAAGATTTTGCATAAAATCTAGACATTATGGACCCTGACCATCCTCGTCATGAGACTGTAATTGGAAAACAGAGTCTTTTCAGCAGGAGGCTTCTTCAGATTATTTGCAAAATGGACAGCTAAAGGAGATCTTTCTTGCCCACAGCCATCACAATCTATAATAACTCCGTAACTAAATGAATTACTTTAACATTTAATTTCCCTCTGGGATAAATAAAGTATTTTCATATTGGATTGAATTTCAATTTGTGTTTGTTCGATGTATCTCTAGCAATATATAAAGACTTTCACTGCACAGAATTGTAAATTACATAAAATTTCCTCTCCTTTGTCCATGAAGAGTTTTATTTACCTGTTCTGACAGTCTGCCAGCCAATAGAAAAAGGAGTTCTGGCTTGCACCATGTACATTGTGATGGGACTGTGGTTGTCAGGTCCAGAGCCCCAGGACAGTTGTACAGTAGTATCGGTAATGTCAGTCACCAATGGACTCTCTGGGGCCCCAGGAGGTCCTGCAACATCAAGGAACACAAAGAGAAACTTGCATTAGTCTCACTGTACAACTAGAGCCCCTATGACAGAGAATTGTGAAACTTTAATGCATATGCATCACAACTCAGGTTCTATCAGAACAGTAGTTGATACAGGTTGGAAAGACTTAGAAAGAATAAGCTATTTTTCTTGTTCTATATCAGGTGAAAGTGTGTGGAGGGGAAGGGAGGAGGCGACTGGAGAAGCAGGACTGTGGCAGGATGTGAGCGTGGTTGGATGAGTGATTGGCAGGCATGGAGATGAGCAGGAAAGCAGGCGGACATGCAGTGATCCACAAAGGCAGAAACAAGGAGCAGGTGATGACAGCTCGAAGAACTGAGGCTAATATACTGAAGGACTGATAGGCTGATGGATGGCTACTGATCTGTAACCAAGCAGCCCGGAAGGCTAGAGAAGTGCCACACCTACAACACACACACACACACACACACAAAAACTTGTACACACAAAAAACAGACAGAAACAGACAGGACAGCACATAAGACGCATAGGGGAGGAAAACAAGAAACACAAAAGGAATTAAATGAAAGCTCTGCTGTGAGTAGAAGTGTGTGGAAGGAGTCTGTTCCAAGCTTTAAAAGGATCTAGAACCACCTCCTCAGTATGATCGTTCTAGTCTCTCACATAATTTTGGAGGAATTCTGCTCCACTACTCTCTTCACTTTTTATTGATGTTTGTTTCGGCACAGCTTTTTTTTTAAGGCCCAACCCAAGCATTTCTGCCTAGGTGAGGTCTGGACTTTGTTTATCCACATAAACAAATGAGATACACAATCCATTGCAGCAGAATATCTGACTGTGCCCAGACTGTACATCTGAGACCATGCCGTGATCAAGAAAAAAAAGAGACCTATGAGACACAATCCTCCATCAAAGGACTTTCCAAACCCAGCTAGTCTTGATCCTTTTTAGTGTGAAGAGGCTTTAATCTGGCAATCTTTCCAAACAAGCCATGTTGGTTATAAATGCTGCCATGAACTGTAATATCTAACATGCTAACTCATAGGTTTATTTTTTAAGTTTCTCTGAGCACTGCATGGGCTCCTACTGTGATGGCCACTCTTGGGAAAAATGGCAATTGCATTTAATGTTTCAAAGATCATTGCTGATTTCTTTCCTCCTTGACATTGTGTAAGCAGACGCTAGAATGCCCCAAATTGACAGGCTGCAAAATCATGTGCTTTCTTGGAGGAGCTCATACTGGATGATGACCAATATAAAGTGGATTTGATTAGCAGCATCCCGTTGCCACAGACGCTCTAAATATTTGTTAGATTTGAAGGACAAATACCTTCTTTTCTAGAAGGACATAAAAGAAATAGGTTGAACAAAATCTGTTCGATGTCACGTCCAATGCTTCTTCTTAAACTGCATGGTTCTGCAGCCGCTTGAATTGAATTATTAATTAAGTTTTATCTATTATTAATTCAGCTGGAACAGCCGTAAACAGATTTGTATTTGTCTTTAACTCCGTCTACTGTTATCTGCAGTACTGTTAGCAGCAAGTACGTGGAACAAAAAAAAGTAACCACGCTCACCTTTTATTGAGAAGTAAAGGGAGACAATCATAACAAGAAATACATATTTATGGTAGGTATTTGAGAAAAAGCAGAGTGGTTTGCGTACGCTGAAATAAGCTGAGGTTTGTACATAAGATAAAATGAGCTGGAAGTTAGAAATTTGCAAAAGTAGCACCCACAGTGGGACCACTTTTTTCAGGTGTAAAATCACTGCGCATTATTATTGCTCAGTTTGAGATTCCATATAAGTAGCATCTGCATGTAGAAGCTGCCCAGCCGAGATGGCTACAAAGTCTTTCTAATCAGAACCTCCCATACAACATATTATTTTCCTGCTTGGCAAGACCAACCAGGACTTTCATGTCTATTTTCGATGGCGTATTTCCACTGTGAATTGGCGGTCCTTTGAGATTAAAGGGTCCAGGGAAAATAAAGCCAAAAATGCACCAAATGCTGTTTTGCGCAGAGCCACTCGGTTATAAAACATAAATAACCGAGGCTGATAGTTGCTGTTGGAAACAAAAAAAAAAAAAAAAAAAAAACTATAAGGCACGATAAAGGTTGAGCCAAAGCTGGCAAAAGTTGAAAATACACAAATACGTAAAGCATGAAAATCTTTCTGATTGCACCTTTGTCACCTTTGTCTTGATATGTGAACTGAAATGGCCTGTTCATGGGTTAAGTTTACAAAGGTAAGACTAAAGCTAATCACCAGGGTTTGACTGTAATGAATGAAATCTCTCAAAAGCATTTCATGGACTAGTTTAAGATTTTTTACTCCTAAGAGGTCGCAACAAAACACTGGCATTAATAAAAAATTATTTATACATTACCCCTGGTGGTGAATACATGGGCGTCATTCTTTTACACCAACTCTTAAAGTTGAAATGCTGCAGTTTAGTATCTACAGGGTGTAGTTAAATGCTGCTGTTGCAACACACAGGTGCTACTTTCCCATACCTAAGGGATATATCTAATAAAGCAGATATTTTCCTGTGTGTGTTTATGTACATCCAAACTGTGGCTACAAAACCTCACTGTAAATTTTTTCTTACTTCATTAACGTTTGTTGTCTGTTTTGTTGTGACTTGGGAAGAAATTAGTTGTACTTACCCTGCAACCCGTTACATCATTACTTGTATATTTTATAATCACTTTACTTGTACATTTCGGTCAGTATGTCTTTGAGTAGCTGTCAGTGGTCAAAACTGACTCCTTTCTATTAAAACACCAACTATTAGGAAGTACTTTGCAAAATCCCTGTTATACAGTTTCAAATTAAATGTTCAGTTGGTATATATTTCACAACCCACACTAAATAATATAAAATGTATTTAGCATTAAGACTCGTAGGATTAAACTAAATCCTAATAGAGGAGGTGATAGATATCTATGATAATGAAATCTCAACATCTAATAGATTTATCTAAGTTTTCACCAGAATATATAGGGTGATATTAATTTTCCCAAAGTCTTTGCCTGACGGCTCTTTTTCAAAGTATGCAAGAAATGTGTCTTAATATTAAAAAACATCTGAGCCTTTTGCTAAAAAAAAAGACATGAAAAGAAACTGTAGAGTGATGCAGAATGACAAGCAGTGTTTGAAGGAGAAACAGGCATACCTCTGACAATTAAGTCTGCCGCTGCTGAAACAGTGTCAACTTCAGTGTGTACCATACACACATACTTCCCAGAGTGCTTTAGTTGAATGTTTCTCACCATCAGGTCTCCTGCAAATCCCTAATGAAATATACAGACACATGGAAGAGTCTTGAAAAGAAGAAAATAAAACAATGAAGTCAAAGCAGGAAATATGAGCACTGAAAAAATCCCTGAGTCACGTAATGTGAAGTCTCCATTGCGAGAATGCCCCCGTGGACGATTAGAAAGAGAAAAATAAAAAGGGTATGACAGTCAAGCAAAACAAATTAATTCAGCTTTACATTCTAAGAAAGGCTGCACAAAAACGACTTGTTTGGAAACAGTTGTTTTCTGCAGATCAGTCTCTGCTGTGTTTACACATACCCTGACAGCTCAGATGAATGACTCTAGCAAGAATTTTCAGATGCTTTTTGCACTTTCGCACTGTGCAAACACACACCATGACAAGCATGGACCTTGAATTTTTTTTCCTTCTGCAAAATACAGCCACCTCTTCTGTGGTAAAAAAACACATTAAAAAACTATAGATAAATTGGTCGTCCAAAAAGGTAGTTTTTAGCTGATAGATATTAAGATGCCATTTTTGTATAAGTACTCCAGTGGGCCTGATTGGCTCATCAGGAAAGAAAATTCATCTTAAAATAACAACAATATAGGCTTTTTGTCTTCTGGTCAGGAGAAAAGTGAATGAATATTCAAATACTGGGTTCACCTCCAGGATAAGAGAGATGTCCTTCCATGTTTACAGCCTTTCTCCTCAGATATACAGTAACATCTGCTCTGGAATGAGGTGTGGTGTGGATTTTGACACACAATCTACAGGAAGAGGACAACACCTCCGCAGGTGTTTTAATATTTTTATGAATTGGGTTTAATTTAGACTTACAGTAGTTAAGTGAAAATACATCTATTTGCATTGATATTTGTCAAAGACTATGAGCTACTAGAAAAGGAAAAACTTCTATTCTCCAGTTAACCGGATGCAAAATAATGCAAGCAACATGATAGCTGCATTAGCATGTCTAATGTAAAATACTGCCTTCACTTTCATTTTTCAAAGTAGAAAAACATCTATTTGAATATGGATGACAGTAAAATAAATGTGGATGAAACTGCAGAAGAAAAACTAGTTGAAATAATGCTACAGAAATGTATACATTTTATTCAAAAAATGATGATAAACCACTTATCGTTAATTTATCCACTGGACAGCATTGCTAGAGATGAGATGCTCGTATGGGAACAACATCAGAACCAGCAGTATTATGTGGCTTCTTATCATTATGCCGGCTCTCATGTAATACAACCAACTTCATATGTAATCGAATGCCAGATATTTATTGGTCTCAAGCAACTGTAACTGATAATGTTGCTGTCTAACACAGAGTACAGTGACAGTACAGAACAGGACACAACATGTCAGTCTTTCTGATGAGCTGTTCCTCAATATTGGCTCTTAGCTAGTCTTGCAGCAGATTAGCATCATGATCAACACTGTTTATATGCTATTAATGATCTACAATGTACACAATAGTTTCAGTTAGATAGTACTCTTCACAAATACAGCTGTAATGAAAATTCAGATTGCCTTGCAATTTTTTAAAGGAGCAACACTCCCTTGTAGTTATTAAACAACTCATAGGCAACTAAATATAAAATATAAATTCCAGTTTTTTAACAAGTATACTAATTGACTTCTGTCCTGATCAAGCCAATTATTTCATGTTCATGATCCATACATTATCCTCAGTCAAACCAAAATTAAACAAAAACAGGACAGTGCTGTATCCTGAGATGCACATTACCCGTCAGTGTGAAAGTGTCAATGGATATGTTTGACATGTATACTGGAAATTGAATACAGATCCAACAATTTCTAACTTGTCTCTCTGACTTCTAAAACATAATGGATCCAAAGTTTTGGGGGAAAAAAAGGATTATGCTCTACACAGCTCTCAAACTTTGATTGCCGGACACATAATATTTGCCAAAAATCTTCAGACACAAGTACTGTACACACCCCTCCAATCATCTCAAAGTGCTCCTGCCTGATGAAATCAATGGCTTTGCCGTTGAAAAACCACTTGAAGATGGGACTCAGGGAAGAATCACTGGACACCTCACAGGGAAGCACGAGACTCTGTCCCACAGTGGCGTCAGAACTCAAAGGGGGGACAATGATCTTGGTGGGCTCTGCAGTGATATGGGAGATAAAACAGGATAATTTAATACGGTACGAGATTGAATCCCCCATAAAATCCAGCCAAATGAAAAAGGTAATAAAGCTTTTTTTTTCCTAAGTAGTAACACAGATTATGAGTCTATTAGAGTAATTAGGTAAGTAAGCACAAACCTTCTTTAACTTGCTGATGAATAATTAACAATCACAACCCAGTAAATAAATAATAAATACATAAAGGACTTTTCATGTACATACATACATACATACATACATACATACATACATACATACATACATATAGACAGACAGACAGACAACACACACATATATATATATATATATATATATATATATATATATATACAGAAATATTATATACACAGAAATATGCATATATATAAAATCATTATTTTATAAAAACACAATAGTCTGAAAATGCCACAGGAGCTCAATTCAAATTAAATGAAAATATTCTTCAGTCACTGCTGTGGCAGTAGTTTGCTTCACTCTGCTACATGAGCAATAACTCAAAGCTGACAAAACCATGGATGAGTTATATGTCTGTCAAAAGCCGGCGGGAACATAAAACGGCTTTATATTTCATTAGCAATTTCATGCTTGAGGTAGAATTTTTTTCCCTCAAACAAAAGTTTAAACCTTCGGCTTTAGAAGACAGCGAATAAACCTTGGGCAAAAACAGAAATACCTTTCACCACCAGTGTCCCTGTGCTGCTGGATGCTCCAAAATGGTTTCTGGCCAGACACGTGTACCTGCCTTCATCAGATTTGGAGATATTGGTGATGCGAAGAGTCCCATCCTCCATGAGAGAGTGTCTAAGGATGGCAACAACAGCTAAAACAGCCTGTATGCTTCTTTGTTTAAGATTCATCATCCATCCATCCATTATCAATACCGCTTATTCCCTCATGGGGTCGCGGGGGGAACTGGAGCCTATCCCAGTGGTCAACGGGCGAGAGGCAGGCGACACCCTGGACAGTCCGCCAGTCCATCGCAGGGCCACACACAAGACATACAAGGA